CCCCCCCACCCCTTCTCACAGCATTCTCACAGCAGCAACAGGAGTGGCCCCCTCACAACAACACCACCACCACCACCACCACCAAAAACAACAACCCCAACAACCCCAAACCTCCAACCTCACCCCCCCTCCACCCCCTCCCCAATCGGCAAACTCGAATACCTCACACAAACCCACCTCCCCTCGCCCCTCCCCTCAAACTCCACCTTGCCCACACTATACCTCAACACCCCTCCCGGACTAAAATTCACATTTTCCATATTCAAAAACACAACCGCCTTTCCCGTTTTCTCATTCACGCTCGCATGAATTTCCCTGATTCGAATAAAATACTCCGGCAAACTCGCGTAAAGTTTTTGGAAGTTTTGTAAGAATTCGGAGAAGTTGAGGTCAGAGGATAATGTGGAATAGGTTTTTCCGAGAGAGAAATTTTTTTGGTCGAGAGTGTTCCACGGGTAGGAAGAGGGGTTCCAGAAGCGGTTGTTGCAGGCGGTTACGAGGTCGGTTGTTAGGTGGATGAGATGGGATTCGAGGTGGGTGGGGTGGGGGGTTGGTGGTTGTGGAGGAGGAGAGGAATATGAGTTTGAAGGGGAAGAGGTGGTGATGGGAGTGGGGTTTGGAGATGGATCTGCGTGATTGGTAGGCGAGGTTGAGGATGATGTGGTTGCACGAGCAGGATGATGAGGATTTCTGGGCGAAGGATTTGGTGGCATGGTGGTGATGAATTGGAGGGGTTTAATAAAAATAATTAATTGTCTCAAGAGGAGGAAGAGTAAGCTACATGTAGCTTGTCAGACCATGATGATGAGAGAGGAGAAGCATGATAGAAGTGGAGGGAATGGAAGAGAGATAGGAGAGTCTCCTCGCTATAGTGCGATTGATTGACTATCATGTACTACATGAGTACATGCTCTTGGAGGGAGGGTGGAGGAACAGGGGTACGATGATAGTACTGTTCCCTACGCGAGTGAGGTATTTGACTGAGGGGTCTCGCCCGACGAACATCTACTTGCCAAGCATTATGCCACATTGCGTCTCACGCTTTCAAGACATGATTACAGAGGCCGCTCATAGGAGGTGAGTCGTGTGTAAAGACTCCTCGAATTATCAAAGGGGCAGTCGAATACCCCCCTATAAAAGTATCAAATTTCTACCTACGCAAGTTATATCTCGCAGAAGCCAGGAGGTCGCTTCTACGGATAAGTAGGTATTTCAGCAATCTATATCGGCTCGGAGGTCCCCGGTGATAACCACCATATCATGTAATGACATTGGATTGGACCAGTTGTCTACCCTCCAACATGACTCCTCTAATCATGATTGCCACAGCATCGCTATAGAAACACGGATTTATCCACATCGAGAAAAAGATCTGAATGCAGCACATTCCTCGTTCAATCTCCCAGTCCGTAACATACACCACCCCAATCGAAGATATCGCCGCTATTCTTAAGTCTACATGCCAGTCCGGCGTCGTGGGCAGTCTGGACGAGGACTCGGATTAAAATCGACAGCGCGGGCTTTCCTGGCTGGCTATTGCTCGAATGTGAAGGGTGATGTGATGGCTCTTAGAAGTCGATTGATGTCGGTTGCGAGGTAGGGAATCGCTTGGAGGAGAGTAAGAGTGAGCAAGCTAGAAGGGCCAGCTCGGGTGGAGCCGTGCCAGTGACTGACAAAGGTTAAAAGCCAAGTGAATCTTGGCGGGTTTTCTCTGGAGTTTTTTTTTCCTTCTCGCCATCTTGCGCTCGTTCGTTCGTTCATTCATGACTATACTCGATCTTCTCGTCGGTCCCGACAATGCGTTGGCGCAAACAGGCGGCGGCGAAGTATTTGTTCGTCGCTGAGTGCCGCCTCTTGTCTTTCAGGTCCAAGTCACAACTCGTCTCTTGTCTGCAACAATCTCAGCACAGCTTACAGCTAGGAGTCCAACGTTGGTATAGCATATATGCTGACAGAGTCTCTGCATGTCTCTCCTTATCAGCTAGACTCGAAGCTAAACGCGTGGTTATCATTTCTCTCGGAGAGAAAGGGACTCTAAACCGTAGCTTGGTCGGCTTGAGATGGCGGAGTGAAGAGTTAGATATCATCAAATCTTCAGCTGCCTACCGTCGTGTGAATACGCACATTCAATACAGGCGTAGTCAAAATATGATACTGACTTCTACAACATAAAAGGGTCTTACGGTCTGATAGGACTAGAACTAATGCTTGCTGCCGACGGCGAGATTCGTCAAGGATTGCCCATGTCATATCTTGAATTCAAAACACGGTATACTTCCAACCTCCAAAGCTACATGCTGGAATCCGATATCTCTACACGAGACCTTAGCGCGCGCGCGCGCAGACAATGTTCAATATCAACCGAACCAGCGACTAGATCTCGCACGCCAACCCGACTACAGATCTCGAATAGCCGACATGGAGTTCCAAAGACAGCTCACCCCGACTTCTCCTATCATCTATACCAATAGCGAAGCCTTTTTCTTTCCACCAACAATTGGCAAGGCACATTCGCTGCAGATTCTGGCGTACTACGATCACTCCAACCCGCGACAGATTCCAGCTTCGACTTTTCTCCGGCAGACTATTTCGACCGCCGAAACGACGTGGGGAATTATCACACGGGCGACTTGACCGTGCGATGGCGCGAGCAAGGCCAAAGCGTGTGGAATGAAATCGACACTGCTGCAGCACGCGATGTGAAGCCTGTGTCTTTGAGTGCAACAGCCGAAGATGTACTGTTGACTTCGTATTTTGATTTCACACAAGAGCTCAATATCACTCGGAATTGGATAGTCAAGGATGAAGATCTGGTTCTACAAGTCACTATTGCCAATACAGCTCCCACCGCCAGGATAGAGCTCGGTGCCTTTGGCTTTCCCCTGGAATTCAACAACATCTTCACCAACCGCACCGCAGACGACACGACGGCCAAATGTGTGCTGCTCGATCCATATATAGGTCTCGATGCTGGATATGTCCAGGCTACGCGACTCACTGGTACAGGGCCGAATTTGGTCATCACTCCCTATGGTACTCACTCTCGTTTCGAAGCCTGGCGTTTCTTGCACGAGACAAAGGAACAGAGTACAGGGTATGCTACGCAGACTTTTGAGGGGATTTATTCTTGGCAAGTTTTGAGTAAGGCATATGCAGAGACGGAGTGGAATGCTACTGAGCCTTGGAATCGCCCGACTTCTGTCATGCTGGAACCTGCGGAGTCGGTGTCTTTTGGATTGAGATTCAGTGTTTCGCCTACGGTCCATGAGATTGAGGATGTGGTTTCTTCGAAGGGTGTGCCGCTTGCCATTGGTATTCCTGGATATGTACTCCCTACAGATTGGAACGGTAAACTATTCTTGCTCTCCGAATCTCCTGTGAGCTCGATAATGGTTGATCCCCCCGGCTCCCTACAACTCACCGAGTACATGGCCAAAGATCCCACTTGGAAAGCCTATCATGTCAATGCGAAAGATGGATCCTACGGACGAGTGAGAGTCTCGATTCATTACGAGGATGGAAGAGAGCAGAGTGTTCACTATTATGTCACTGACACTACAACGGCAACATCAGCGAAGCTTGCGAATTTCCTTGTTACAAAACAATGGTATACAAACACTAGCGATCCCTTTCACCGCGCTCCTGGTCTGATCAGCTACGACTACGAAAAGCAACAACACGTCCTCCAAGATGCCCGAGCATGGATAGCCGGAATGTCCGACGAAGGCGGCGCCGGATCCTTCGAAGCGGCCGCAATGAAAATCGCAGTCCATCCCGACGTCGAAACAGTCGCCAAACTCGAACTCATGGTTCAAAACACTGTGTGGGGGAATTTACAGAATAAGGAAGATGGGGGAACGAATGATACTTCCAAATATGCCGTCAAACGAAGTCTCTTCTACCACGACCCCCAAGCTCTGCCCGACTACGCTTACGATCCGACCATAAATTTCAACACCTGGGCAGCCTGGAACAAAACCGAAGCCTCCCAAGTCTGGCGATCCTTCAACTACGTGCACGTCAGCGTCTTATACTGGGCCCTCTACCATGCCGAACTCATCAGTCCCGGAGTCCTGACCCTCCAAAACTCCACATGGTATCTCCAGCAGAGTTTCAGCACCATCATAGCGAGTCAACGCGATTTTGTCGAATTTCGCCACCTCGGTCAAGTCGGCGAAAGTATCTGGCTGTCCATTCTCCAAGCCTTAGAAACCGAAAAAAACTTCGAAAGGGAATTCAAAATCCTTCGCGAAGCAATGCAAAAACGTCAAATGAACTGGTCGGAGCAATCTGAACCTTTTGGAAGCGAAATGTCTTGGGATAGTACTGGTCAAGAAGGGGTTTACTTTTGGTCAAAGTACGTCCCCCCCATCCCTCCCTCTCTCACAAACACACAAACTCACACACAAACAACAGATACTTCAACTCCACCCCCCTCACAACCAAAACTCTCTCCCGCATCCGCGGCTACACCCCAACTCTCGCCCACTGGGGCTACAACGGCAATGCACGTCGGTACTGGGATTTTCTCTACGCGGGTCGAATTCCAAGGATTGAAAGAATGTTGCATCATTATGGCTCGAGTTTGAATTCTTTGCCGATGATTGATGCTTTTCTCCACTCAAATCCCCCTCCTACTTCTAATACTTCTAATGTTGCTACGCCTACTACGCCCGCAGCGCAATCCTTCCACGATCTCCGAATCGGCTACGGAGGCCACATGGGCGTCTTAACAAACATCCACCGCGACGGATTCGGATCTATGGGATTTCACGCTTGGCCGGAGACGCTCGCGTGGGATGGATACTCAGGGGATTTTGGGGCGGGGTATTTGGGTCATGTGGTTGGGAGTGTGTGTGTTTTGGTAAATCATGAGAGGTGGGGGTGGTTGGGGTTTGGGGGGAATGTTGAAGAAATACAAGAAGGAGATGAAAAAGGAGGAGGAGGAGAAGGAGGGGGGATTGTTGGTGTTGGTGTAAAAGTAAAAGTCCAACCCAAAGATACGGTCCGAAGAAAAATCTACGTGGCTCCTATGGGCGCCAAAATTGAAATTTCTGCGGGTGTGATACGGGAGTTTGTCTACTATCACCACCACACCCCAACGAAGGAGCACAAGAATAAATTAATAGTAGAATTCGATCTCGTCACAGGCGAAAATGCCTCGCAGGCGATTTTGAAAGTCGAAGATACCCTTGGAATGGGCATAAAATTGAAAACTCGAGGTTTGAGGAATGTGAGGGGAGGAGGGTATTTGGTGGATTTGCCGGGGTGGGTTGAGATTGGTTTGTAAAGTACATATATACCAGACCGATTGGATAGTACTGGTACCGTGTACGGGTCAAATGACTCTTCAAAAAAAAAGTGTAGTTTGATTTGGCTGTGGGTATCATCATCAGATGCGAAAAAAAGAAAAAAACAAAAAAGCTGACTGATAATGACACACTGTCTTTTGTCCTTTCGTCTCTTGTTCTATGATTTAGGTAGTTTCTCTCAGTCTCCTGATGACACCTCAATCATGACACCACTTCTTGCCAACTCCCTAGGGCTGACTGGTGCAAGTCACAAGTCTCGAGTTGACCAGGGGGGAAGGGCCAGGTCTCGGGGCGAAGTTGGAAAAAAAATCAAATGCCAAGAGATAGGTCTTCGTCATCAATAAGGTAAGACTTGATGGGAGGTTGATATGCCGTTTAGTAAGATGATTTTTTAATCTACTCGGGTGCTTTGGATGGTTTTTAGGAGTAGAGGGTTTGAACGTCATGCGAATATTGAGGTAGTTTTTTTTTTGAATAGGGAAAGGGGGTTAAGAAAAGAAAAAAACCTCTGAGTGAGGTACATTTAGATACCTTATGACCCCGTTTTTCCCCGTCTTGGCAAAAACGGGACTTCGGGGTTCCTCTAAAGTCCTTGGACTATCTACCTACAGTACAGTACATTGTAGGAGCGACGGCGGTATATCAGAAATTTATACGACAATATTGTATAGATATATCCGAGATATGTTGTATGCTAAGATATTGAATGCGGCTCTAGACTAGGTAGGTACTGACTACTGGTAGAGTAGTTAAGTACCCCGGAATAGTCTACTGCAAAACGGAAAACGAAAAACGAAAAACGAAACGGGGGTTGTGGAAAGACTAGTGCTGGACACGATCGAAAATTGGGAGAGAGGAGAGGTAAGGAGAGGAGAGCGACCGAATTTTCACGAACTGTACTAGCCCCTTTTATAGTGCCCATCTATCTACCGTCTACCACAAAGGCCCACATATACCGATTACACTATGCATACCTAACCTCCTACAGAACACTTGCATAGCGCAGCGTAGCGTAGCGCATGTATACAGTACATTCCCCAAGAACTCCCAAGAACCCGTCCATAATCGGCTCCTCTCTTCCCGACGCCAGTAAGAAAAAAGAAAAACAAAAACTCGCTCGCTCGCCTCTAGGAGTACTATTGTAGTAGACTCAAGTCCCAAGACCACCGGTTCCCTCACTTGAGAATTTTAGTACGTATTGGCAAAAACAACAAACCAGGCTGTGCTCTCTCTGTCTCTCGTATGAAATCGGGTTTTGAAGGGACGGGGAGTTCACGATGCCAATCGCCCTACTTACTACCTGCTGACTACCTGCTGATTAGCTGCGCTTGGTAGGTAAGGTAGGTAGGTAGCTATTCCTTCGCCTCCGGGTACATGGATTCATCGAAGCCTGGGTTTCAATCATCAATGTATGGAGTGGTCATTTTCTTAGCAAAAAAACGGGAACTATAATCGTTCGTTGTCTTGTACGTATATGTGTATTTGGAAAATTCGCTACCCGATGGCATCGTCTTGGGGTTTCAGATTTTTCCGGGAGGGAGCGGAGGCTGTGAGATGATTCATGATCATCTTCGTCATTTTTTGAGCGAAGAAGTGGTGTGTGATGATGGAATGGGGCTTGGGTTGGACTTGGAATTGGACTTGGGGCTTGCGTGGGTTAGGTAGGTAAGGCAGTTTTGGGGATTGTAGACGATATGTGAATGGTTGGGTATATGTATATATAAGAACTTTCTTTCCCTTCCCTTCTTTCTTTTCTTCTTCTCTTTGGGTAGAAAACAATCAATCAATCAATCGAAACTAAGTCAAACAAACAAACAAAACAGGATATACATATATTCATCATGAAGCTCTCCATCCTCGCTGCGTGGCTCTCTGCTGTTGGAACAGCACAGGCTTTCTGGGTACGTCCTTTTTACTTATCCCTCTCCTAACAACATCCACAACAACACCACCAACCTTCTCATCCCCAATTTTTCTCATCCACTAACCATCTCCCTTTCTCCCATCAGATTTAGATTGATAGGGGTGGGGGATTGGAAGTCTTTCCCTCTCTCTCTTTCTGCGTTGTTTTTCTCTTTCTTTTTTTTCTTTTTTTTTTTTTTTGAAAAGGGAAAGAGACGTCAATGGTTATGAAGGGAGTGATGAGGAACTACCCCTATCTATGGTGGAAGAGAATGCTCAGGGGGTTGGTTCAGTTTCTTTTCAGGGGGAACTTTGGGCATGACCATTAGCAGTTTTTCTAAAGAAAAATAGCAAGACGTCATCACAAACGTCGCGGAATCTTCAACATGTCTGAAAAAGACTTGATTTCCCTTTTTAATACCACACGCAAATGACCCTCCCTCCCTCCTCTTGTTTACATAATCAATTCTAAATAAATAAAAACCTTGCTCTAACCCAATCCAATGCCCTTTGCCGTAAGTCCTTCCTTCACTCATGCATACCTCGTTCACCAACTCTTTTCTCTTCCTCCTCCTCTTCTCCCCCCATTACTTATTTCGTAGGGTTGCAATCCGCATGATTCATATTCTGAGGAATTCCAGGAACGCATCCGATCCATTCATTCGCGCAGTACAAGTGCTGAAAAAAAAAAAACAAAATTAGTACAAATATTTCTCGTATGGATTATTGATTATTGATGAATACATACCTCCTCAGGTCCACATCCCACGTCGGGTTTTCCGGCATCGCCTTCGAAACCTCTGCAGATTCCGAATTCGGATCCTTGAGGGTTGACGCAGAGCTGTCTTCTTCCCCATCCCCATCCCCAAAACCTTCTTCTTCACCCAACCAGAAACACTCATCTTCCTCCGCCCACCAGCACCAGAAGAAGAAGAAACCACAGTCCTCTCTCCCCTCGGAAGCGGCAAAGCCGCATACTGTTCCCGAGAAATCGCAAACCCACGCTCCTCCGGCTCCGGCAGAGCCGTGATCAGAGGGGCCCGAGCAGTCAAGGGGGTAGATCCTCCCGCCGAGACGAGGCGAGGGCGGCGGAGGAAGACGGAAGGAGTTGTCGCTACTACTGGTGTCGCTGGTTCTGGTGTTGGCGCCGCTACTGCCGCTGGTGCCGCTGCCGCTACTGCTAGCGCGGTGGTCATTGGCAGCGAGGAAAACGGGCGAGAAGAAGCAGCACACTCGCAGGCATGAATTTCGAATTGGCAGACGATTCGACAGGTACAGCTCGGGAGGCAGTGACAAGGGTTTCCGTCCGCCAAAAGGGGAGGAGGAGAAGAAGTGGGCGCAGAGGGATCGAGTTCTTCGAGGCAGGCGAGAAAGTTCTTCTCCACGCAAATTTGTTGGAGGTGAGAGTGAATCTGCGGGAGTGGGAGGCGGAGAACGTCGATCATGCCGGGGGTGTGAAGCAGCATTTCGGCCTTCTCTGCAGACGAGTGCTGGGACCAGATTTCAAGGTAGGTTTGACGGAAGTCGTGGTCAATGTCGAGGTTGCGGTAGGTCTCGGCGAGGTGTTGGTATCTGACGGCTGTCTCGAGGGTGCTGAGGAGGCCTGGGTGGGTCAGGAGGCGCCATGTGGTGGTGAGAAGGCGTCGGAAATCGTCTACCAGGTACGGCTGACCGAGAGTGTTGCCTGTGTTTCCGTGGTTGTGCAGGACTCCTTGACTGTGAAAGTCCTTTGTACTCTCTTCCAACTCGCAGATCGTGAGAATCAGGGCGTAGTAGATGCTATCCCAGAATGCAAGGCTCAAGAATGGTTTTGATGAGAAAATCCCGACGTCTATGATAGCCTCTGGGTCTGCTCGTGCTCCATGGACCTGGTACAAAAAGAACAGAAGTGGATCGCTTGTATCCAAGTCCTACACTCGTCAGTAAGGTGCACTAGCCCGCAGTCAAAAGGATGTTCCACTTACTTTACCAAGGTGACGCATCATGAGCTGTTCGTGTCGAATGATGGTGACGGCAGAGTCGCGCAAATGCTCATGTACAGCTTCTTCTGAGAGGCTATCAGTGCCACCGCCAACGATCTCCAAAGCCCTGCCTGGCGAAATTGCTTCTTCAAGTGCCGCCATCATGTGCTAAACGACCCGGGATCTGGCTGTCTGCTGCTCTGGCCGCGTCTCTTCGAGCGCGTACAGTGTTGATTTACGTCGAATGGTCTGGCGTGTATCTTCTGTGCAGAGATGATGGGTTCCAATCGTCACACTGGTATGCGTGATCGTGAGCTGAGGAGGTTGTCGAAGTGGTGGCAGAGACGGCACTCAAACCAGGAGAAAACTCTGATATAGGCTTCCAACGCTCACTCGAAAGAATCTGATGGTCAGTCCATGATCCTTCAGTGAATGCAATGACTGGCGTGTGCCTCTCTGTTCAGCAAGCCTGCTTCACCACAGCAGCGAGTAAACTGGGCTACCTGGCGGTAGTGTCGATGGTGTTGCTTCAAATACTCGCCAGACGATGGTTGTGGGTGGGTGGATGTGGGTGTGTGCGTCGCGAATTGCAGAGCTGTGGGGGCAGAACTGTGGTTCAGAGCGCTTCTTCTTCTTCTTCTGTCTGTTCCGCGGTGGTAGCGACGAGGATATGACTTCAGGACTCACTCGCGCTCATGCATTCGGTCCTGGGAATCTCCGCCGTCCCAAACGTCCAAGTGGTAGTGTTGGACAGTGAGCCATGGCCAATCGTGTTATTGTTGCCATGACGCGTTATATCAATTCACTGGCGCCTTGACCACAAGTGAATAAAGCGCCGCTCCGCACTCTCGTTTACCCCAACTTTGCGGACCTTTGTCTTACACCTTCGCCTTCAACGTCACCCTCTCATGCCGGCGCACGAACACAATGGCGTCCGAATCTGACGACTCGACATCCTGCGTCAGCTTCAGCCTGCGCTTCAGCTACACCTCTGCTCCAGAGTCCAAACTGGCAAAGAACCATCGCATGCGCCGTCCAACTTCCTCCACAACAGAAAAAGTAATAACCATAGCGCCAGTCGTTGACGATGACCACCTCGCATCGGATAGCTCAGAAGGCTCGCTCTCGCCCGACACCCGCGCGCTACAACGTCGAGTCCGCGCACAATTCTATCGGCGCCTTGAGCGTGACACAGACAGGCAGAGTCTTCGATGCCTCCAACTCAGCACGAAGAAGAACACTCCCCGCACCGACGACGACCGAAAAGAAGAAGCCGCTCGAAGGATGAACGACCGCCGAAGTCTAGAGGTCCTCGAGGCCGCGGCGACCACACCCATCGTTCAGAAGATGACGGAGCAGAAGAAAGCAGCGCCGTCAACCCCGTGCCACCTACTACAACCGCTTCCGCAGCCAGCACGACTCCCGCGACCACCTGCTCCGGAAACTCAGCTTCTCGCAGGGAGGGTTTACTCCGGAACCTCCCCCTTCAACACTCCCACGGCAGCAGAAGAGACCACGACGAACTTTGCCTTGCACGCTCCCGCTCCGACGGAACCCGATTCTGATTGTGATTCTGATATCTTTCGATCCGATCACCGGGGAATGTTCTTGTCGAGGAACACGAACAAACTCGAGGAGAAGGACCGCGCTGCTCTCGTGTACCATTGGATGATGGTGGACACCATTGACACATTGGAAGACGAGGGCGATGACGTTGTGACATCACCTGAAGGTTCTGATGACATCCATCAAGCGTTATTCGAGGAGGTGATGGACCTTGCGGCAGTAGCAGCAGCAGCCGACGGATCGAAAGCGGCCGCGGCGATGGAGGTGTTGGTGGGATCACATCACAAGGCTGTTGATGAGGAGCAGAAGAAGGTGGAGGTTGTTTGCGGAGGTGCAGCAGCAGAAAAGACAGAAGGTGCAGGTCATAGCGAGGACTCGTGGAGTCCAAGATCGGTTCCATCGCAGGCGCTGCAAGGGGGAGACGAGGCCGCGAACGAGGCTTTCTCGGATGATGAACGCGAGTGGTTAGATCTTGGCTTGATGACAAGTCAGCTTTGAGTCGTTATGAATTTGGCAAGTATACACAAGAGAAGGATGTGCAGGCGGAAATCTGCTACTCATCGAGAGTTGATACCGGCTACAACATCATGGTATATCACCTGGCGACCTGGTGTCTTCCCGCATTAATTCCATTAGCTTCGCTGGCTTCCGATAACTCATCTTCACCATCCCCTTTGCTGCCTCTGACAGCATCTTCGTACTCGCGTGACATAGAGAGCTGCGCAGTCTGTCTGCACAAGTTCCATCTCCGCCGTCCGCCTTCTCTTGCCGTTTTTGAAACAGATGCACGAAATCAGTGCTACGATTCGCGCATAGAAGACGAAGCATGAGCGGGTTGTGCAGTGGTAGACATGATTACCAGGAATGGGCGCGAACCCGTGGTAGATTGGGTCTGCGGTATGTATAAAAGCCGCTGTAGGCAATCCTTTCGAAGTTTCGCCGGTTCCGGACTGGGTAACTTCACTCCGCTCAACCCCATGTACTGCAGACTACACCTGTCGCACCTCTTTTCCTTTCCCTTCAGGCCGTTCATTTTCCCACGCATCCCGAAGGACTGCATATACGGTGTCGGTAAGCAATATAAGTAGAGCCAGGCTCCAGACCAGTGTGATGGCGTAGAAGAAATTGGCATTCCCGGAGCCAGCATATATCCACAGATGGTGAAATGCTGGTCCCAACAGTGATGCATAGAGAAGAGCCGATAAAGCTGGGAAAGTATAGCGGTGCGTGGAACATACTGCAGCAGTAGAGCAAACATTAGCCCTGCTTGTTACGGGTTGGAAATCTGGTGATCGATCGACTCACATTCGAACACGTGTCCAAGCAGACAAAGACTGCTCAGCCAGGTGCCTACATCGCCAACATTGGCATATGGCTGAAAGATGGCATTGATTCCCAGCATCAGCACTACAGCTGCAAGTGGTTGGTTCCGGAAGCGAATGCAGAATGGTATACTGTATGACAGCATATGTAGCCAAAAGACGCCCAAGAAGAACTCTCGGAATGCATCGAACATTTCGATGAAGAAATACCACCACAATCCGGAATTTGGCGTCAAGTCTGGCATCGTGAGTGGAGTCATATACACGGAATCCAGGAACTGCCAGGATGGAAGTAACAGGCGGGACACTACAAGCAGAAAGCCAGAGAAAGTCAAGAAGGTGCTGACGAGCACGACCGCAAATGTAGAGATTGGAGGGAGCAGCTCTTTGTTACAAGCGATTTTTGTCACTCTGCCCTGGCCAGAAGTCCCTTCCTCGGTCATGGTCGCTCGGCCAGCCAACTGCACACATAGTTGGTCATAGCATAGCAGTCCAATGGGCGGTAGCAGCAACACCGGGTGCAGACTGATGTAGCTGGCAATGGCCAGAGCGAAAGCAGCCGTCATCACCTTGGCTTGACAAGCATGCTTGACGCTGAGCAAGGTGAAGAAGGCGGCGAATGCCGTCGTCGGCCGGCCGAAGCATGCTACGAGGGTGAAAGGATTGAAGAGGTAGACGGCCGCTACAGAAGCTGGCTGCCAGACGCGGTCGGCTCTCGGGGACGTGAAGAGAAGGGAAGCGGCGGCTGCACCTGAGCTGGCAATGTCATAAATGCAGTCTGCAGTCAAGACATCCAGGCCAGTGTAGATGAGGATCGTGGCTAAGCGACCCAGCCAGGTAGACGCCGAGGGCAGGAGGGCAAATAGCGGCAGGAAAAGAGGAGCCTAGACATGCCCACTCAGTATATTGCAATGCGATATTCGGGACAGCACTCTGTGCTGTTGCTGCTGCTAACCTGGTGGAAGATGCCGCCGTCGTACGGATCAAGTCCTCGCTCGTATAAGAACAAGCCTTCCTGTACTGTTCATTCTCAGCGCGTGTCGATGCCTTCGCTCCTGTCCTTGGCCCAGACAGCCCAGTCATGGTCCCGCCGGTGTCCATTTCACGTACATCTCTTGAAGCTATTGACGGGGGTCGAGATCTCCGCTCTGCCCGTCAAGAGGTCAGGGAGGCCTGGAAAGGCGAGGGCCAGCGTTATCCGGAGGGTGACAGCGGCGGAGAACAGCAGCGTCTTGGGATGGCCATGGTAGAGGTGCGTGGCGGCGTCCATGTTCTCGTCCTCACCGCATCTTCGCCTCGTCGTCGTCGTCGTCGTGGTGTAGTCGGGTACTCTCTTGTGCCCAGCTGTACAGTACCTCCTAGTTCTCACCGTAGCTCTTTCATGTGCGCCCGCGGAGATAAGGCTCTCCCCGTCGCGGCCCTTCGACTTTCTCCAGCCTCTAACCTGATTGGGACGGGACACAACGAAAAAGTTCCACCAGCTTGAACTTGTCCTAGACACACCTCCCACCGAAGGCACCGCACACCCACCACTACCACCACAGCCGCAGCGATGGCCAAGATCAAGAAGCGAGGTATGCGATTGCGCATGTCTCCCTGCTCGTATCGCACTGCTGACACACGCTCTCTTCTCCCCAGGAACGTCGGGCAATGCTAAAAACTACATTACCCGCTCGCAGGCGGTGCGCAAACTGCAAGTCTCGTTGCCAGACTTTCGACGGCTGTGTATTTTTAAAGGTGCGAATCGTACTGTGCCATGCGCCAGTGACTGTGAGACTGACGGGACAAGGCATCTACCCCCGCGAACCTCGATCGAAGAAGCGCGCCTCAAAATCGTCCACCCCATCCACGACCTTCTACTACACCAAAGACATCCAGTACCTGCTCCATGAACCGCTGCTCGCCAAGTTCCGCGACCAAAAGGCGCTGGCCAAGAAGATCAGCAGGGCACTCGGCAAGAATGAAGTGAGCGACGCCTCGCGCATGGAGCGCAACCTGACGCCGCGCATGCGACTGGACCACATCATCAAAGAGCGTTACCCTACTTTCGTCGACGCGCTGCGGGATCTCGACGATGCGCTGTCCATGCTGTTCCTGTTCGCCAACCTTCCGAGCACCTCAGAAGTCCCGCCGAAGATCATCGCCAAATGCCAGAGATTGACCATGGAGTTCGAGCACTACCTCATTCGCACCCACAGCTTAAGGAAGAGCTTCTTGTCCATCAAGGGCATATACTACCAGGCGACCCTCCAGGGTCAGGACATCCTCTGGCTCGTGCCCTACAGATTCGTGCAGAAAAACTCTCCTGATGTGGACTTCCGGATCATGGCGACTTTCGTAGAATTCTACACTACGCTATTAGGCTTCGTCAACTTCAGGCTGTACAGCAGTATCGGGCTGGTATACCCTCCCAAGTTTGACTTGAAGAGCGAGGAGCAAGGGGCGGAACTGGGCGCTTTCAAGCTAGAAGGTAGGGATCAGGATGTGAGCGAAGAAGGACAGGAAGAACTTGCGGATGCGGAAGTCAACGAGAGAGCACAGGCCGAAGCCGACAAACTTCTTGCGCTACCGGCACAGGAGGAGCCTGGCACGTCACAGACACTGGGCAGAAGTACACAGGATGAGGAAGAGCGAGCAGACGACGAGGACAAACCGACAGACACCGCTCTCGACCAGTTCGAATCTGTCGATCCCAATGCCGACAGCCTCCTCCAGCCCTCGATTACTGCCGACGTGGAAACTGCTGCCAAGTTGTTTGAGCCCTTCACCTTCTTCCTCTCTCGCGAAACACCCAAGCATCCATTGGAGTTCATCCTCAAGTCGTTCGGCTGCAAACGAGTGGGTTGGCAGAGCTTAGAGGGCGAAGCAGGATCGTATTGCAACGAGGACGACACACGAATCACACACCAAATCGTCGATCGACCCGATATCCCACTGCCCTCACCGCCGCAGACGGACGACGAGGAGCTTCTGGACGACGGTGTTGACGATTCTGCAGCGATCAGAAAGGCAAATGAGCGAGTACCTGGACGGACATATGTGCAGCCGCAGTGGGTGTGGGACTCTGTAAATGCCGGACAACTGCAACGACCCGACCTGTACGCGCCCGGTGCGACACTGCCGCCACATCTCAGTCCGTGGGTGAAGCCCAGGCAGGGAGACTATGACCCAACCAAGCCACTTGCAGAGCAAGAAACAGAGGCAGAGGCTGCTGCTGCCGAAGATGATTCGGACGAAGACGAGGACGAGGACGATGTGGATGAGGGCAGTGACGGCGAGGAAGTAGAAGGTGTTCGCGGTGATGCAGAGGCAATGGAACTCAAAGTCGACCTAGACGGCCGAGCAGTCGCGCAAGGCGAAGGCATGGACGTCGAGCTAGGCGATGATGACGAAGACTCGAGCTCAGCCGAAGATGGAGCCCCGGCTGATGGTGACTTTGGCGGGTTCTCCGACAATGATTCAGAGATTGAAGATGATGCCACCAGAATAGCCCGTGAGCATCAAGCGGAACTGGAGGCCGAAGCTGCAGGCAAGAAAATTAAATCTGCCGACCCCAAGGACAAGAAGAAGCAGGCCAAGGCGGTTGCTCAGGCCAAGCGGACCCAAGCGGAGCGGGAGAGGGAAGAGGATTTGGAGCGGCGGAAGGGCATGATGCCCCGACGTAAGAGGAAAATGTACGAGAAGATGGTGTATAGCAATGCTGTCAAGTCGGATGAGGCGGAGAAGATGAGGGCGAAGAGACGGAAAGTGGAAAAGGAGCTGGGAAAGAAGGCAAAGGCATAGTATGCTTTGGAAGGCATAGTGCGGGTAGGTTGATAGAGTATAGAGCTCTCTATTCTATGTTTATACCAGCGTAGAAATGTTGATACGGCTGTAGGTCCGTAGATGCACATTCATATCTGCAGTCATCAAGAGTCTCTCTCTCACACACACACTCTCTCTCTCATCAGTAATATATATTGTACGCGGATGCTGTCGGACCTTAGTGTAGCCCCACGCAGCGAGCGGGTTGAGCCTGAGGGACACTTCGGAGTCTAGGAACGTGCCTTAGCGCCAGCAGTAGTTTTCTCGGCATTTCAACCCTGTTGGCTTCCTGTTTCCTTTGATTTGTTGCGTCCAAAAAACATCGCACTCGGCACTTCGGACACGACATCTCACTACGACACCACTCCATCTCACTACACCATCATTCCTGTGCTGTGCAGTGTGCATCCACCGCGCTAGGGGGCGTTCCTTGCCAGCTGTACAGTACTCACCTGGTACGATTACGGTCCATGGGGGAGAGGACTGGACGATATGCCGACAGTGACACTCCGTCCACCTGTGCGTGATCGGGCAACCATCAGCACAAATGGTAATCCGATGCCATCACTCGTCCAGACCCCTTCCGGTCTAGCCATGATGGAGCTACAGGGCATCATCTCCAGCGAAGAGCCAGAGCTGGAGACAGCGCTCCATCTCGGCCGACTGGTGTTCCCGCCCGCAGAAGGCGATGAACATGGCGAGTGGGATGGCAAACGAGTCATGCTGTACGTCGGCGACCATCAGAGACTGACGGGAGAGGTGAAAAAGCTCGCAAAACCAATTGCTGTGCTTCGGCGTAGACCTACATCCTCCATCGTCGACGAGGAAGTGGAAATCGCAGAAATCGTGTACTACAAAATGCTGTTTGCCCACCGTCCTGAGCCTTTAGGCGGCTCACAACAGGATCCAACCGGGAATGAGTGATGATGTTCTTTCGTGGTATCGCCGTGTGGTGCCTAACCCCGCGGCCGACACGCACTGTGTTGAATCATGATTACAAAACATCTTCAGGCTGTCAGCTTCAAGGGAAGATGCTTACTCAAGCATGGACGACGACTGCTACACTGGCCGTGTCAAAAGACCGCATCAATAGATCAGAAGGATGCTAGAGAAGCAAATTCGTCATTCCCACTCATCAGGCGTGCTATATCGCGCTGCACATGTCGGGAAACGGGGATGATGGCGCTGCTGACGTGAAAGCTATGGAGGACGTCGACAGTCGGACAGTGTGACAAAGGCCCATGTCTCCAGGCCGCTGTGCGCGCACTGCGCGGCTGTAACAGCTTCGCAGTCTCCAACACGTACAGGGGGGAGGTGGATGTAGCGACGGAGACTCTCACATACTGCGTTGATAAGCCGACGCTAACTATACACGCGGCCGTATCGCAAGTGAACAATACCTGTACCTCCTACACGTGGCTGCTCCAGTGCTCTTGGTGATCGTTCCAGGGAGGTAAATCACCTAGGTTCCAAGTCTGCCCCACATGATGCGTGCCGAGCCTACACACAAGATGTCTGCCCCTGAGTGAAGGGCAACAACCAGAGGGAATGTAGTGGTCGATCTGCAGAAGAAAGTTGCCTCTTCCTAGTAGGGGGATTATCATAATATATCGCTCTGGCCTGTGCTATGCCTGTACCAACAAAAAAGGGTCTCGCCGGAAGTGTGACCAAGCATACCGGGTCTGCTATCCGACTGCACCTACTAATGCTCGCCTGCTTGAACCAATAGGGGCATTCGTCCCGCGCGCAGTATGATTCTTCATTTATTGATTATTTAGACGCATAACATCACAAACCACGCCGGAGGCCTCGGTTCTGCAGCGGACAGCCTCCACTTTATTTGTCTCCGTCATCTTTTTTTCCAAAAAAAAAAAAAAAGAGGCAACCCTCCCTCCTCTGTTCTGTACATCCTTCCGTGCTGACCAGGGTGACCCAGGCATAGGTGTTCGGGAGATGAGACTTGGCGTCTGGAACGACTATAAGACTAAACGACACTGCCTATCGTTGTTGGACTGCTGCTGCTGATGATGACCACGGACTTCAAACATAATGGCGACTTCCACAGATCACACCACATACCAGCCCATATCCCTCGTGGGATCATTCATCGTCCTCGTAGGTCCCAAATTTTCTCTCCTCTCTCCCTCCAACAAAACCATGAAGACCCAAAAAAAACATAAAAAAAAGAGAAATAATATCTAACCCCCTCGCCTCCCTTCACCTCCCACCCCCATAAAAATTTAGTCCCTCACCTACCTCGTCACCAAATTCATCTATACATCCTACATCAACGACCCACTCCGACACATCCCGGGCCCCAAAATCAACGCCATATCTCGCATTCCGTATGTGCGCCATCTTATCAAGGGTACCACGGTCGATAATGTGGTGGATTTGCATCGACGGTATGGAAGTGTGGTGCGTTTGACACCGAATGAGGTCAGCTTCAGTTCGGGAGAGACGGCGTGGCCGGATATTTATGGCTTTCGGACGGGGAGGTTGAAGGGGAGGGCGAATACGCAGAAGGATCCGATGTGGTATGTTTTTTTTTTTCTTTTTTCTTTTTTCTTGTTGAAGGGGGGGTTGGGGAGTGGTTTAGCCCCTGACACGAGTGTGCGAGAGAGAGAGAGAGAGAGAGAAAAAACTTTTGGTTAGGATTCCTTCCAGAAAATTGAGCAGCAAGTTGAGTTTTACAATACATATATATATACTGACTTTCCCAACCCCCCATCATCTATAGGTATCCATCACCCGTCAACGGCGTCCCCTCGATTCTGCTCGACAACGACGAAAACCACTCCAAGGGCCGAAGACTGCTCTCGCACGCATTCAGCGACAAGGCTCTGCAAGAACAGGAACCTCTGATTCAGAAATATGTTGACCAGCTCGTTGATCGGCTCAAAGAGGTCACGTCTAAGGATGATCAACCTGTGGATATGACGAAGTGGTATAATTGGTGAGTATCAAATTTCTTTTGTCTCCTTTTACAGAAGAAAAGATATCATCTGCTAATCTTGTTATTTCTCTTCTTCCCCAACAGGATGACTTTTGATGTCGTTGCGGATCTTCTCTTCGGAGAGCCATTCGGATGTCTTCAGGTACGCGCAAACAATGATTGAACCTTTGCTGCGAGGTGAACATGTTTGACTGATCATTCTGGTGTTTACAAGAATCTCGCCACACACAAACACATCGACCTGCTATTCAAATCTCTCAAGGGATTCCGCTTTAGTAAGTTGATACCGAACTACTCACTACTTATTACCCACATCATCATAATCATCTACTAACCCCTCCTCTTCTAGTGTACATCGTCGGATACTTCCCCATCGTAAAATACCTGGGTAGTCTCATCGTCGACCAAAAAATGATCGAAGGCCGAAAAGACTACATGAACTGGGTCAGCGATCAAGTATCGAAGCGTTTGGCCAAAGAGACAGATCGACCCGATTTCATGACGTACATTACATCGCACAATGGCGAAAAGGGAACGACATTATCCAAAGACCGACTCGATTCGAATGCGAATTTGATCTTGACGGCGGGTTCCGAGACAACAGCGACGTTGCTTTCGGGTGCGACGTATTTGGTGAGTCGTATAAAAATCATCTCCCCTTTCTTGCACATCCCCAAAACAGAAAAAAAAGAAAGAAAAAACCAAAACTAACCTTCTTCTTCTCCTCCTCCAAAAGCTCCTCAAAAACCCCTCCAAACTCACCCTCCTGACCCACGAAATCCGTTCCACCTGGCCCACCTACAGCTCCATCACCTTATCCGCCGTAAACAATTCCGCGCCCTATCTCATCGCCGTCCTCAACGAATCTCTCCGATATTTCCCTCCAGTCCCCACCGGCTTCGAGCGAAGAATTTCTCAACCCGGCGGAGAAGTCATTTCGGGGGTGTTTATCCCTGAAGGAACTGCCGTGCAAGTTTCGCAGTGGGCGGCGCATCATTCGGAGGAGAATTTTGCGGACCCGGAGGTTTTTGTGCCGGAGAGGTGGTTGGATGGGGAGGATGTTGTTGAGGATGGGAAGGGGAATAAGTGGAAGAGAGAGGAGAAATATGAGGGGGATCGGAGAGGGGCTATGCAGCCGTTTTCGTTTGGGCCGAGGAATTGTTTGGGGAAGGTGAGTTTTTTTTTTTTTTCTTTTTTCTTTTCCCCCCTTTGCTTTTCCCTCCCTTTTCTTCTCTCTGTTCCTGTCACCAAATACCTGACTGACTTTTCCTTTTTCTTTTTCAAAAAACCAGAATCTCGCCCTCGCAGAAATGCGCCTCATCATGGCCAAATTGCTATGGACCTTTGATTTAGAATTGGATCCCAAGAGTCAGGATTGGATTCAAGGTTGTAAAGTTTTTACATTGTGGGATAAACCCGAATTGTTGGTGAAATTGACGCAGGTGGATCGGGGTTGAAATGCGAAATCGAATTATCTACCTTTGAGAGGAGGGAGGAGGTGAGAAAGGGGGGAGGGTTGGCGTTTCTTTTTTTTTTTTCTTTTTCTTTTTTTTTGGTGTGTGTGTATGTATAGGGGGGCGTTGGGGAAGGATTGGAAGAGGAAGAAGAGATGAAGCAAAGAGGAGGGAGAGGGAGAAGGGGGCCAAAGAGAAAAATTTTCCTCCTTTTTTGAACTTCTCTGGGCAAGATATGGTGTATATCACATATCTCTCTCCAACTTACCAATTCCCTTTCACTCGTGCATATCACATCCCCTTCCTATCAACCCATCCCCCCAAGTAAAGTTACTACTTACTGCCTACCTATATACCTGATCAACAAAACTCCTGGTTATAGTACCTGTCCATATCCTACCTACCTACACGCATACATATCTACATCTCTCCCTGCTTTCCATCACTCCAAGTATATAGTATACCTGTAGTCTTGTACAGTATAATATAACATAACATAATACGATATGAAAAAGAAAATAGTAGACAGAAAAATGAATAAAACACTGGGTGTGGTGATTTCATTGGGTCTCGTAAATAATCTTTCTCTCTCTCCGTCTCCGTCTCCGTCTCTGTCTCTCTGCCAAACACCCCCCCTCCCCCTCCGGTCCCGCCTCTCTTTCTGTCAAAACAATCCCATCGAGATTTGGGAAGTCGTTTGTTTGTCTGCTTTGGGTTCTTTGCGTTATACTCGCAAAAAGAAAAATTCTCTTGGGGGTTTCACTGTTATCTCTCTCTTTCTCGTCGAAAAAAGTAATTCTGTCATGACGCCACAGAGTTGTTCAGTTTTCTGCATAAAGTGGTCTGTGAAGTAAAACATTTCTTTTACATTCCCTCCTCTATATGAAATCGTCAGCGAATCGAAACTCGTGCAACTATAATAGAAACAATTCGTTGCAAGGAAAAAACTCACCCATGCCAACGTTTTTCCACCAAGGCTGCTGGCCTTGGCCATCTGTAGTAGTACTGGAACCTTGCTGATTGACCACACTTTCTGCATCGCCAACTTGCCGCCTGGCACTGACTTCCCTCCGATTCATATCCCAGGTCTTGCTGTGGGGTTTGGCCTTGAGTCTGCCTGTCCTGGCAGCCATGGTCATACCCGCAATGAGATCCCCTCCTCCCGGTGTCTCGAAACTCTTTTTTGTTGCTGTGGCGGTCAATCCTTGAGATGAATGCGTCGATGATGATGACGACCGTACCATATCACCATGCCATTCATCCCTCATGACAGGTCGTTGTCACTGCAGAGGCTCCGATGAGGAAGATAAACGGTTTAGATGGAGGTAGACATCCGTGCCATAGCCTTCCATCGAGATCAGTTTCAAATCACCTCCAAAGTATCGCGCATACAGTCGGGAGATGGGGAGGCCATATCCAAAGCCCGCCATGGGAGCTTTGAAGTCAGATTTGTTGAAATCCGGATCCAGATTGGGCGTTTGATCCACGGTCGTGTACATGTACGTCCACACCAGAGGAATGGCGCTCCGGGGGATTCCGCCCCCTTCGTCACTAATCTTGATGGTGATGTCTTCTCGGCCCTCTGAAATGATCACATCTGTCACCGGGAACTCCTCCTTTTCCGCGCCATGTGTCTCCACCACGGCTCGGAGACTGTTCTTGAGGGTTTCAAACAACATGTGCGACAAATGTCCAGGCACATACATGAAATTAAGATCCGCCGGACACACCAGTCGGACCTTGGGGGCATCGAACAGGCCATAGTGATCCTCGCAGACGAAGCGGGCATTCTCAATGGCCTCTTGGGCCAATTCTCGGACGTTGGTTTTGGTACAAATTATCCCTACATAGTGTGGATCGCTCTGTGATCTCTGGTCGGACAGGGCAATGTGCTGTCCAATTAGCATACGGATTCCTATTCGTGACATGTAGAATCGATCCAAAAACGCCTGGATATTATGATCGATTTGCATTCGTTGTCGTTTGCGCTTATATTCCAGAATGCCCTGGGCAATCGTCGTCACCACGCTATCGTGACGGCGTTTGATGGTCTCGAGGGTTTTGGCGAATCGAGAATTGTAGTCGTTCAGCTCTGGTGGCCAGTCTCCGTCATCTGCTGCCGTGAAATATCTGCGCGTCGCTGTGACTTTTCTTTGCCCACCACTGCCGTTCCCGCTACCGTTACTCCCCAGACTCGCATCGGACTTGTATTGCCCCGGCTTCACACTGGGATTGGTCGTTGTTTCACTTAATATGCGCGCATTCTTGCCACTTGCTTTTGCGGGCTTGATCAAGCGCTCTCTAATCTCGGTACTGAGGCTCGGCTTCGGTAAGGATATGATTTCCTGCAGACACACGCAGCACACGCGAATGGTCAGCCTCATGAGAGCAAAAGCAAGCGGCATTCCCCGCTGCTCCATATGCTGATTGTATATCCATCCATACCTCGAATGACTGTGCGTACCAGTCCTGCACCTTCTTGATGCTCTCCATATCATTGAGGCCATCGGGAAGGTCTCCCAGCTCTTGTACACGGTGCGCGAGACGAATGGGTAGCTCTTCGGAGAGGAATTGGGAGGCTCGGAACAAGGTGCCTGGGCGCAAGAAGAGTATAGATTAGCACGGAGAGCTCATGGAGGAAGTTGGTCGCGTGCCCCCGCCCACGTGCCCAGCGCTCGTTGTTCGGCCAGTGAGGTGAGCATACATGTACATACCGATGGAGGGATTGCTTCCAAACTGCACCATCTGCCTCAGACTCACGCCGGTCGCGGGGAAGTTGGAGTAATGCTTGATCGTCTCCATCAACTGGGCTATACCATTGCACATGTCAGCGCCATTTCCTTTTCTCTTCTCTCTCTCTCGCTCTCTCTCTCTCTCTTTCTCTCTCCTTCCCTCCCTTCCTCCCTCCCTCTGTCTCTCTTCTTCTCTCCAGTCGCGGAGGGAGGGGTGGGAGGGCAATGTGCACAAAAGTAAAGGATATACTGACCAGACTTCTTCCACGACATGCTGGGCGGGCGAGCTGCAGGTCGTGGGGGGAGCGACCAAGAGAGCCGTGTGGTGTGTGGATGTGGCCAGGAAAGGAAAGGGAAAGGGAAAGCAGCGGGCAAAGCAAAGCAAACAATGAATGACTCCCACTCTGGATGTCAGTTGGAGGTAGGGTTAGTCGGTAGGGTAGTGTGTGACTAGTACACTTCCTAGTACTGGTGTGTATAGAGGGTTGCTGTAGTGTAGAAAGAAGCTCTCGGATAAAAGGTAATTGCGTCGTCCTTCTCCAAGCTCGTGATAGAGATATATAGCCGCAATCAATCCATTTCTCCGCTCCGACTACCGACTATATTAGGTATCCTACTACCACCGACTACCGACCATTTTACTACGACGGTACTAGATAATAGGTACTGTCTCCGCTATTATGTTGGGGAGGGAGGGAGAGAGAGTATCAAAAACAACCCGAGCATCCTAGGAGGTAGACTTTCCCTGGAAACATTGAGTACGGACCCGCCCCCCCGTCCGTTTAACTTCCTCCGAGGTGCGGAGTCGCTGTTTAATATGTTACTTTATAGACCGGGGGGGAATTACCTTCTAGTACCTGAGAAATCAACAGTTCAACACCCTTTCCAAGGAAACTAATCATGCGGATTCAATAGGAGCAGTAGGTCAGTCAGTACATAAGGTAGGTAAAATCACCGATCCGACGAATAGGGATCTGAAGTTTGCACTATCATTTGTGGGCTTTTCTTTTCTTTCTTTTCTTTTTTTTTCACATGCATCTGTCTCCTCTTGTTCCACTGAGTTCCAGTTAGAGACGTGCGTATCTATGCCAAGAAGTGGTTACAAATACACCTATGTACCAGGTAGGTACCTAGGTAGTATGGATGCACATGAAATATTTGAATCGAGAAAAGAGTGTGCTGCATTTCATCTGCCTGCGTACTGTACAATCAGGTACCTTAATACTAGGTAGGTATAGGTATACATACCTACAATGCGAAAACATCACCGGAGTTCTACGCCAAAGCGAGTCACCAACTTACTGCGTATACTCTCATGAAAAGCATTCGCTTCCTCCTTGGTCAGAGTCTTTTCCAGACTGCGATATGTAATTCTGTAACACATGCTTTGCCTTCCCGTCTTGGGATGCTGGAAGCTATCGATAAGCACCACATCTTCGACGTTGTCACCGGCTGTGTTGCGTACCACCTCCATCAGGTCATTCTCGTGGAAACATGACGCCTCCAATGTCGGAGGCTCTGTGCTTTGTCCACCTGCAGGCGAGGGCGCAGAAGATGTAGATGCAGGTGTACCCGCCACGATGGGTCCGCTGGTTGGTACCCAGAAAGTGACATCTCTATGCGCGGCGGGATGTTTGCTAAATGGTTTGAATCGTCGTGTTGGCTTGGACTCGTCGAACTGACTCAAGAAGCGGGAGTCTTTGCTCCAGAATAGTCGAATGTCGGGAATACCAAACAGGAGCATGGCAATTCGCTCGAGTCCGATGCCAAACGCCCAGCCGACCCTAGAAGACTGATCTGCTCGGATGAGAAGAGGTTGGTCGATGACACCACATCCTAGCACTTCGAGCCAGTCGCCGCGCCACCAGACCTCCAGCTCCCACGATGGTGAAGTGTGTGGAAAAAATGCCTCCACCCATCGCACCTTGAGTGGTTCCCGCTCTGCCTCCGCTCCCTGTCCGGCAGCAGCAAGGGCTTTGTCTGCCTCCGAGAAAATGGCAACGACCATGTTCTCGAGAGATCGCTTCAGATGTGTCGCTACAGCTTCAGCTTCCTCGGGAGTGTGATGCTCCGTTTGCAGCGGATTCTTGACAGGGTCGAATGTAGGATTAGGATCGTCCACAACCAGATCATGTTTCGGAATATTATCCAAATCTTTCGTAATGTGCTCTGTCAGGGCTCTGCTGTCGGCGAAGTCCTTACGATCCCATGTCAGGGCGCCTTCCATCTGATGAAAGACGGGATAGTGGCTTCGATCGACGGCATCTCGCCGATACACGTCTGCTGAAATCGTGTAGCCATCGCTCGTGTTGGCTCGAAAGACATCGACCTCGTGAGCAGATGTATGCGTTCGCAGTACGGTATCTTGGTTGATGTAGTATGTGTCGGTCTTGCTGCGCCCTGGATGGTCTGGAGAGAAGCCTAGAGAGTCGAAGTTTTGCTGGACGCTGACAACTGGGGTCAGGTCGTTGTGGTTCTTGAACTTGGGGAATCGTGACTCGATCAGCTTCCTCGTGATGGAGAGAGGATGATTTTCTTGCACGTGCAATTTTCTGCCATAGTTGGCTAGGATCGAAGGAGGCACATTCGTCCAATCGTCAGTGGGATAGGATGTGCCCCCGATGTTGAGCGACTTCGGTTTAGCATCTGCAGCCGCATGAGGAGGTTAGTTGGATATTATTCCCGCGGTATCGCTCCCTCTTCCGCTGTGGAAATACTGAGCTCCGCGAAGCTTGTGGTGATCCTTGCGCTTGGACTGTGAAGACAGCTCTTCAAGCAGAACACGATATGCAGAGAAGCCGATGCCGAAATGGAAAGACGTCGCAGTCAAGACTTCCGAGGTCTGTTCGACTCACCAGTGGATGCATAGCATTTACAGCACGCCGTTCTTGTCCGAAGCAAGACGCGTATGCTCGATGGCAGTGCCCATATCGATGCAACTGGCGCGCCTAGTCTTCCCATCTTCCTCTTGTGCCGCTCGAGGCTTCAATGAGCCGCTGATGACGGACAAGCAAAGTCGTCGTGGTGGTACCTCCTATGTCATTTCTCTGCTTGGTTTGCTCTGCCATTGTTTATTCCCGAAAGAACGCCTCCCCCATGGGTTCTAGTTCTATCGGCTTATCTCAGCAGCCATTGCACTTCCCATTCGCAACTCCTTCGCGACATTCCCTTCCTTTCTTTCTGCACTCCTCTCTGGCCCAACCCCTTCACCGCGTCTTGCTCGCGAAGCAATGATCGCACGGCGATGGCGACATCAACACCCAAGAGCCAGGATGTCCAGCGGCAACCAATTCGCTACCCGCTGTGGTTTGGAGGCACTGCAAGCTCTTGCGCAGCTGGTGTGACACACCCGTTGGACCTCAGTACGTTGCACCCTGCTTTCTCAGCTGACGCAGAATCAATTACTGACTGAACGGCGCAGTGAAGGTAGAACTGAACTCCGCTCAGCAATTCGAACGGCCCGACTCACACTCTCAAGGTTAGGCTACAGATGCAACCACATGATGGCACTCGCAAAGGCTTGGTTGGCATGTTTACACATGTGGTGAAGAGCGATGGGATATCAGGACTATACAGAGGGGTATGTCTCTAGCCATGGTCACCAATCCGAAAGACATTGGTTGACCTGACATATTCTATGTGCTAGCTGTCTGCGTCGCTCCTACGCCAGATAACATACAGCACAGTCCGATTCGGAGTCTACGAACAACTCAAACAAACCTACGATGATGGATCGAAACCATCTATATCAAAGCTGATCGCCATGTCGTCGGCCTCTGGATTTCTTGGGGGTATTGCCGGAACACCAGCAGATATCCTCAATGTCCGCATGCAGAACGATGCCGCACTCCCACCTGAGCAGAGAAGGAACTACAAACACGCGATCGACGGTCTTATTCGAATGGTGCGCGAAGAGGGTGCTGCAAGTCTGTTCCGTGGCGTGTGGCCCAACAGTGCTCGCGCCGTCCTCATGACAGCGTCGCAGCTGGCGAGTTACGATGTCTTCAAGAGCCAGTTGCTGGAGCGTACGAGTCTGAAAGATGGTCTGACTGTGCACTTTTCGGCGTCATTGATGGCCGGGTTCGTGGCTACCACGGTGTGCAGTCCCGTGGATGTCGTCAAGACGAGAATCATGAGCGCACAGACGAAGGAAGGACTGTGGACATTGGTGAAGCGGATCACAGCGAATGAGGGCATTCTGTGGACCTTCAAGGGATGGCTACCCAGCTTTATTCGGCTGGGGCCGCACACAGTTGCGACATTTTTGTTCCTGGAACAGCACAAGAAGATATACCGCAGGTTGCACAACATGGACTAGAAACAGTTGCGAGGCGATGCGTAGTCGCGAATGTCCTAGGGGCGTAACAGCATTGTAGTGGACCCTACAAAGGCCAAAGTCGGCAACCTAGAGGTGGCATAGAGGCAATATAGATCGGGAGGCAACATAGAGGGATTCCTAGACGAATGCATAGAGGGCTCGCATGGAGTTGTGGGCTGAGTGTACATATTGCACCTAGCATCGTTACTGTGATGGAAGAAGCTGAGATTCCCATTTCGATCTGATCTGATCAAGCCGTGGTGACAGCCATCCGGGATCAACGTCTCAAAGAGTGCTGCTACTCTGGATTGGGTAACCTAGAGTACCTTAGGTACCTATAGTCTGAATGACTTCGTGTCAGTACCTAGGTAGGTAGGTAGGTAGGTATGTACCTGGGTAAAGCTAGGGACATGTACTGTATCTAGTGCGAGGAGGTAGTAGGCACGTGTGGATCTCGGAGGTGATGCGGAGTGGATGACCCCTGATGTTCTGTGGTAGAGGCTGCCAAGCCCTTCCGAGCAGACAGCTGGCCCTCGATGGAGACGGAATCGTTGCATGTCCACTACCTGACTACTGCACCTTCACCTTCACCCTCCATCTTCTTCCTCCTCCTCCTCCTCACCCTCCTTACATTTTCACTCCCTCCACCATCTCGCCGAGACTGGACACACGCACACCAGTCTCCTCGAATAGCAGGCCCATAGATCGGAGCGCCTCGAAGCCTCCAACACCACCGGCATCATGTCTGGACGTACGTCAAAAAATCTTTCCCAACTTGAGTGACTACGCATCGGCCACGTGCCACACTCGACGACCAGCTGTGCGCCAGCAGTGCGACTGGATGACATCTTTGCGACCACGCGCTGACCCATTGGCCTTGCAGTCCGCTTCCTCGACCTCGTGAAGCCCTTCACACCCCTCATTCCCGAAGTGCAAGTGCCCGAAACGAAGGTCGCCTTCAACCAACGGATAGTATGGACGAGTGTGACTCTGGTCATCTTCTTGGTGATGAGCCAGATGCCATTGTACGGCATTGTGTCTTCAGGTGAGCAGGAACGATGAGAGAGAGAGGGACAGCAGCGGCAGCAAGAGTAGCATTGACGAGGGACATTAGACACGTCTGATCCCCTCTACTGGTTACGTATGATGATGGCCAGTAACCGTGGAACGCTCATGGAACTGGGAATCACACCTATCATCTCATCCGGCATGGTTTTCCAGCTGCTGGCCGGCACCCACCTCATCGACGTCAACCTCGACCTCAAATCCGACCGCGAACTCTACCAAACCGCGCAGAAGCTCCTTGCCATTATTCTTTCCTTTGGACAGGCCTGTGTATATGTGCTCACCGGTCTCTACGGTCGCCCTGCAGATCTCGGTGCAGGTATCTGTGTGCTTCTGGTTGTCCAGCTTCTCACTGCTGCTCTCATTGTCATTCTGCTTGATGAGCTCCTTCAGAAGGGATATGGTCTTGGTAGCGGAATTTCTCTGTTCATTGCCACCAACATCTGCGAGTCTATCGTCTGGAGAGCCTTCTCTCCAACCACTGTCAACACCGGCCGTGGACCAGAATTCGAGGGCGCCATCATTGCTCTTGTTCACCTTTTGGTGACGTGGCCAAACAAGCAGCTAGCGCTGCAAGAAGCCTTCTACCGCCAGAATCTGCCCAACATCATGAACTTGATCTCTACGATCCTGGTCTTCAGCGCTGTCATTTACTTGCAAGGATTCCGCGTGGAGATTCCAGTCAAGTCTTCCCGTCAACGTGGCATGCGTGGCTCATACCCAGTCCGCCTCTTCTACACCTCTAACATGCCAATCATGCTGCAGTCTGCTCTCTCATCCAACGTCTTTTTGGTCTCGCAAATGCTGTACACCAAGCTTCCAGACAACCTCCTTGTCAAGCTTGTTGGTGTTTGGGAAGCCAAGGAGGGCAGCTCGCAAGTCATGCCCATTAGCGGTCTGGTGTACTACATGAGCCCACCTCTCAACATCAAGGACGCCCTCCTGGACCCCATCCACACTGCTATTTTCGTCGTCTACATGCTTGTCGCATGTGCTGCTTTCAGCAAGACATGGATCGAGGTTTCCGGCTCGAGCCCTCGCGATGTTGCCAAGCAACTCAAGGAGCAAGGTCTGGTCATGGCTGGTCACCGCGACGAAAGCATGTACCGAGAGTTGAAGCGTGTCATTCCCACTGCTGCCGCGTTCGGAGGTGCTTGCATTGGTGCTCTCTCCATTGTCAGTGACTTGATGGGAGCTTTGGGCAGTGGTACCGGTATTCTCATGGCTGTCACGTAAGTTTAATCTCCTGCGCTCGAATCGAAACGATGCTAACGTTGTTGACAGCATCATCTACTCGTACTTTGAAATCGCCGCCAAGGAAGGTGACATGGCTGGTCTGAAGGGTATGGTGATGGGGTAGATATGAAGAAGGACCAAGTTGAAAAGGTGAGACTCATCTTGTGCAAAGGATATACGCATAGCATAGCGTAACAGAGACAGAAAAGCAAGATTTCGTATATGATATGCGAATTCACATTATTGGAATGAAAAGAAGACCTCTTATTGTTCACCATGTTATGATGCCTCCCGAAAAGAAAAGCTCTTCTCTTGTGCAATGTACATGTACGTGTTATATGTATAAGGTACCTTGCCTATTGTGATGTATTCCTCTTCCATCCAGCTTGAATCAATCCTACACACACATTCTCTCTTTCCCTCTCACCATCAATCTTTTCGCAACTCAGAGATGTGTATGCACCGACCTACCGACCTACCGACCTACCTATAGGTATCTATCTAATGTATATAATGTATCTAATATATCACAATCTCCGTATCTTACTTAGGTAAACGGTAAAACTGTCCATTACCTAGGTAAGTCCAGATAATGTACATGATGATCTTATCTTAAGGAGGTACTGACCTAACGTAGAAGAAAAAAAGTTGTGTATCTATAGTAAGGTACGTAGAATTTTATGTATACCTTATATACGTACACATACTTAAGGTAGGTAGATGTAGGTAGGGTAGGGTAGGGTAGGGTAGAGTAGGTAGAGATATAAGGTAGATAGGGTAGAGATATATACCTCCGAATACGTCTTGAATAGGAGGTAAGTTACTGGATTCGAGGGGGGTTTTGTCTGCTAAGAAGATACCTTAGGTATATACTGTAGTTTCTAATTTTTCGTAAGAAAAAAAAAAGAAAAGAAAAAGAAAGATTGATAGGAAAAGGAAAGGCAAGAGAATGAAGATGAAAATGTTTAGAAAAAGAATAGGGAAACAAAATAGGAAAGGAAAAGAAAAGGAAAGGAAAAGAAAAGGAAAGGAAAAGAAAAGGAAAGGAAAA